TTATATATTGTTACCTGGAGACCTGAACAGCTTTGCCACTGATCTTTGTGTTCAAGGGTTCTTATTTGTTACAAAATGCCGAATTTTAAGTACAGGTTATATACAGACTCGTTGCAGGTTTTTTCTGGATGGTTCTGGTGTCCCAAGCTGACCCATGTTCCTTTATTTTCCAATGCCATTAAATAAAAGGATGCCCTCTTCTTGAAAATTCTAAATACGCGATCTGAACACATCTTTACGATCTTATTGTATGAATATTTTGTGTAGGAAAGAGCTGTTACATATCCTATCCCTAAAAGATCAATTTTCTGTGGCGTCATACTACCTAAGAAAAGCCAAACAATGTCAAAATGTCGTTCTGATACATTCCGTTTCACTGCGACTTTATGTCGACTGTGGTTGTCACATAACTTGTATATATATATATATGGGAAACAAATGATCACATGTTTAAGGTTAAGTTTACCTACGAAAAGCATTAAAATATCCCAATGATAACACAATAAAGGACGAAACCGTCACTATGTATAAAATGCCATTCAGTATAATGTAACTAAAATTAACCGAACACCATAACATAGTATTTTTGTTCAGGTGATTGACTATAGAAACCAGGATCTGATTCTATGATCATACTTGTGAGAAGATGCTAAGAATGAGTATTATTAATTAAAAAACAAAACAAATAAACGTCACTAACGACCACGTGATGTTTTTTTTTCTGTTGAAATAATAAAACATAATATTTCTTATTGCTGAACTAGACATTTGTTCCCACGTAAAAATGAAATGAGTGTGAGAAAAAAAATAACTTACTAAGATCCAACCAGACTGAAGATGAAACTTTGTTGAATGGACGACAACTGACTGTTGTAGGAACACAGTTGAAGAGGACGATGTTTCGAAAGTCTTCCGCCTTTCAAAATGTCGTATCTACACTTGTGTTTCTACAACAGTCAGTTGCCGTCCATTCAACAAAGTTTTATCATGAATACTCTGCCTAAAAAATCTATCACAGACTGGAGATGTTAGGTGGGGTTACAAAAGTCGCAGTTAGTGGACTGTAGATTCAACATGATGTTATAAATGTCACAGTCAGTATCTTATAAAACAAAACTGTTGACTATAGGGAAAAATTGGCGTTGAGATAATGCATCAAAGTTCCTGAAAAATTGGAAGTTGATATAACTAGATATTTGGAGACTTCATTCATATTTGTTAGCTTTGGAATAGAACAGCACGTGAGTAAAATCAACAAAACAGAACTCGGAAAACGAAAAAAATCTTTGGGTTCTGACCCCAATGTGTGAGTAGAGGTGTCACGTGCTCTCCGTACAAGCATACCAAAAATGTGCTCTGTCATTGAGTTTAATGACACTACGTTCTGAGTACAAACAGAATTATTAACATGTTTTGTTATCAGGGGGTGCAATAATAAAATAAATTCTTAGTCGGTGGGAAAAATGTTATCTTTCAGATCGGAAACTTAAAAATTACATGTCACTTAGTTTCTCTTTGAAGTTAACTATTAATCATGGTTTGCATTAGCAAATCGACAGATGTATTAATCGTTTCATCTTGTTTTAAGAGGGAAAAAGTAGCGCATTCAGTGACGTCAATACTAAGGTTTTGTACTTCTTAGTTTAGAGCAGATTTTTCCTACAGATTTAATTTAAACCTCTCCATAGGTGAAACAGACCAAGACTAAAGCATTTTCATGGTAAGGGAAGAAAGATATTATGTAAGAGGGTATGTTAAAAAACAAAAAAGTGAGAAAAAGGCTAAACATAACAAAGATGAGTTTTTTTTCCACATTTTAATCAGCTAACGTTAGTGCTTTATCACACCAGGTGGAGCTTAACTAGCTAATTTGATTTACGTAGGATTGATGGTTCCATGACAGAAAAATGAAAAAAAGACTGACTCCAAGGAAGAATTCTTTATGCTGAAGTAATATATCATATTCGTTATATATTTTAATTGAAACCTTTATTTTATTGTTTAAACCTATAAGTTATACAACTGATCTTAAGATTGTGGGTTGTTGATATCGATTTCATCTTTCAATAAGTATCAAAGTTTAGAAATATCGTGGCTTGATTTACCGACTCTTTATAAATGAGATATTTTAATTGATACTTAGAAATGACATTACAGAAACAAACTACCGAACTTGACGACACATTCAGATGCATGTCGGCGAAAAAGTAACAGCACATGTTAAGATAAACGTCTTTGCTGAAATGCTACCTGCAAACAGCGAACGTGATTCGTCATAGCTACCACTGCAAGGTTAAGTTACTGTTGTTGATAACATATCTTAACCACTACTATCGCAGCCGGTCAGAAGAGCCCTGTATTAGGCTAAAAGGTCTTATGGGCACTGGAGATTGCAGATACAGGGTGGTTGAATTATTGATATTCAGTCTTCCCTACTTCCATTTAGAAGTTCTAATTAATTAGTATGACGAATAATAAAAACGCTAGCCGCATGTGTTTCTGATTTAGAGTACTATTACATCATATGTTTCTTTTGTAACAGAACTGTAACTGTGTTGTTTCTAAAACCAATTCAGTCTCTGTGTGACCTCATATAAAACCCAGAACTACAATATGTACACATGATTCAACATAGCCCTATAAAAACAAGTGTATTGCATGAGTTAATATATTATTATAGAAACACAGCTGTAAATATATATTGGCATATGTGTGTAATGCTACTTTAAAACAAGGCTAATAATGATTTTAACCACATCATTCCTTACCAGCCCATTTCGGATTTCCAGTAACAATTTTGTTTGATGTCAAGTTTCAAGACTAGTTTAAAACTCCCAAAGTCTTAGCTATTTATACCTGTTTAGACTAATTTACAACTAAGAATGTCTTAGCTATTTATACCTATTCAGACTGGTTTACAACCAACAAAGTCTTAGCTATTTATACCTATTCAGACTGGTTTACAACCAATAACGTTTTAGCTATTTATATCTATTCAGACTAATTTACAACCAACAAAGTCTTAGCTATTTATACCAATTCAGACTGGTTTCGACAACGTTGTACATTTGCTGTTATGTTAAACTTATATTAAAGTTTTCTTCATTACCCATTCAGACCGTCTCCAACCGTTATTATATGTTTTGGTATTGTTAAGAAATTAATTACCAGTGGTTTGAAGGTGATGAAGATCCACTAGCTTAAAATCCAGCCACATCTTGAGATGAAATCAGTTTTTCATAAGGAGGTGATAAAAAAGCTGACATTAAAGCAATTAATTTTCCACAAATTTACAATTAATGTCAAGTCAACAAATTTACAATGAACGTTTGGTCAATTTAGAAGTGATTATGAAAGTTAAAGTCTGTCAAGGTCTAAGATTTCTCTTCCCATTTTGTTACATTATAATTGTGATGTATAAAAATACAACACGATCAACAAAAAAGATGTAATTACCAATGAAAGCGGGTCCTGGAACAGCTTTCTAAAAAGTTAACCCTCGGAGCATTCAGCTTCTCAAGGTCTACGTGATATATTGTACTTCTCATGAGAGTCAGTAGTCTGGATCAGACGTATGTTTGTACTTCTCTTGAGAGTCAATAGTCTGGATCAGACGTATTTTTACCTTCTATTGAGAGTCAATAGTCTGGAACAGACGTATTTTTACCTTCTATTGAGAGTCAATAGTCTGGATCAGACGTATGTTTGTACTTCTATTGAGAGTCAATAGTCTGGATCAGACGTATGTTTGTACTTCTCTTGAGAGTCAATAGTCTGGATCAGACTTGATGAATCCTTTGTAATGTTCTTTTCGGTTTGTTGAAGAGACGATGATTTCACGGTAAAGGTATAATTTCCCATTGTTGCTCCATATCTAGTATTTGTATCCCATATAATAATCAGTAATCCTGATCAGACACAATGAATGTTTAATCTGTTGACAAACGATGGTTGCGAACAATAAACAGTGAACATTTATTTTGGTGATCCATACCATTATATATATAATTAGACAAAGAAGCAGACGACGTAGCGTTATGATTTACCTGTCCTGTGACGTGGAGTGACTGACAGTTAGTGATTGACATGGTGAGATTTGTCCATGGCTACTGGGCCCTTACTCGTCAAAAGCTCAAAGATATCAATGACAAGGGAGTTAATATTCAGGTTGGGGCAAGTCATTCTTTCATGCAAATTATTTATCATAACAACTGATTTATTGAAAAAATTTCAGTTAAGCTCCTATAGAATATCGTTATTTTATTGTGATTTAGTGTTTATTATTATAAAGACTATTTTGCATTGCTAGCTTAATATATGTATTTAGGACTAGCCTAACTCTTCTAAGGTGGCCAAACCTCTTGATATATTACCGGGATTACAGTATAAATAAGTTTATTTCAAAGTTCACGATCTGAGTGGACAGTAAATACCAAGTTTTAACTAATAGTTTCTCGACGGCGTCAACGTGATATAATAAAGGCTCAATGCTGCAGACAAAAAAACCTTTATAACAACACACAAATAATTTTGTTATAAAGTTTCCATTCATTGTCGTACAACTATGACGATTAAAGTGTTATATACATGACGGTCAGAGCTAATCTTTATTTTCACAGTTTAATATTGCACCCGACAAGAAGAATTAAATACGTGTAAATCAGGTTTCACAGACCACAACGATCTATATTGATTGACTTTCAACTCCTTGTAATATATTTCTGTCATATATAAACATCAGAATCGGATCTAGGATTCCATGAAATGGTTAGGTTTTTTTTTATCTAGCCTGTACTTCTGAAGTATTGTATGAGTGTAACTTCAAGATGTATAAAAATATGTATTTAATCTAAAAGGTTTTATTCTGGTGATAAGTTCAGACATTTGATTAGATATGTAGAAATAATGAGTCACAACGATGAAATTATCTCGCAAAACTCTGTTTTATTTCTCTTTGTTTTCTGTGAATCACTTTACACAAAGTTGTTTTATATACAGTTAGCTACAAATTTATAAACAATCGTTCATTACACACTAGCACTAAAAAACATTTCAGCGTTTATAATATTATAGCAGACTCTATTTGAGATTGATCACTCCGAACACATCTAATTAAAACTGCTGGCAGGCTTTTCTTTATAAAATGAGATCAAGAAACTTGCAAGTTTTTTTTATCCCGAGGTTATTAGTAGTGACCTAACAAAAATACGACTTAAACAGTTCCAGAAGAAAAAGAGGTGATGATAACAGTTTGCACACAGTTCCATTATAACAGAAGGAACTAACTGAATCACAGAAACTTCAACTGTCAAAAGTGTTGCCACTGTTTGTACACAGGTCATTAGAACTGAGTCACAGAAACTTCTTAGTGACCCAAAGTGTTGCCACTGTTTGTACACAGGTCATTAGAACTGAGTCACAGAAACTTCTCCTTAGTTTAAGGTTAAACTCAGTAACAAAAGCTAGTCAGATATGATAATACAACAAAGTGTCCAAACATACTAGTTATCAACCTCTCCTAACGTTTGTTTTCTCTACTTTACCTGTCAGCTGACTTTGACAGAACTTTGGTGTCAAAATATTTTCAAACTTAGATTTGTAAGGAAATTCTTGAAATTGGATTTCTACCATTTATCGTTCCGTCCGTAGACATGTTCAACAATCTTATAAAGACCTACCTGGACTCATCCATACTCCTTCCGGCTGCTCGAGATGTGATCAGTTCCTGTCCAAAATCGCTCTTTTAACTAGTTAATAACGAACATTTTTCATTTAACTACTTCTTCCTGTTGCTATTTAAAAATCACTTATTGTAGAAAAGCGTGATAAAACATACTATGTAAATAACAAGACGACCCCTGAGTTTATTTTGACTTGTTCTGGGAAAATATCTTATAATCACGGAAAGGGAGTTAATAAGATACGTAGCTTTCAATCTTCACACCAGGTGACGACTCCAAAAGTCATATATTTAGTCAACAACAAAGAAGTTTGGGCTAACGGAGAGACGTCTTTTTTAGTTATTCGATATTTTAACGGATATGTTCATTTAACATATTATTGTGTCATAGCTAAGGTAAATGATATGTTAAAGTCATACTTGAAAACAACAGGAGTCACAGCTCGTGACATAACATTCACGTGGGTCAAAATAACATAAATCATAGTATAATTTTCAGGTGGGTCAAAACAACAGCACATGACATGACTTTCACATTAGTACAGTATACTTATAAAAGACAGAATTGCGAATCTTTAAAGACTTATAGAAATACACCAGTCCTTGAGATAACTAAGACTGTTTTTATTATTTCCACATTTATTGTTAAGTTTGTAGAAAATATTTAACTTTTTTTTATCCATAGCTTGAACTATAACAATGTTACATTAAATATCAGGTTCAGCTCTTTCATTAACAAAATCCTGCGCATGGGAGAAAGTTTTCAGAGTGAGATTTCACTGGCTGACTTAGCCTTGATGGAGGCACTGTGTACTGTACAGCTAAAGCCATCTAGGTTTTCCTTTTGTCAAACATTATCTTCATCAACCATTGGTAAATCTGGTTTTTAGTTTGCTCTTAATTTTTGCTGTATGCAAAGTTATTGTTAAATTTAAGTTTTCATCCAATTAGTGGCTGATAAATGTATATTGCATATATGAGAGTACTAGCATATGTCATTATATTTACGGGATTCCACTTATTAAAGCAATTATAATTCTAGCACCGAATCCACACTGAGATCCATACCACGGTTGAAAATTACAATATACTATTTCTAGCACCTTTTCTATCATTTACTGGAATAACTTGAAACTACTTAACACGTGGCTACTAATCATTGGTGCCCACATGAAACTACCTAACACGTATTAAGCATAGGCAAACGTACTCAAGAACCTTATAAACAATAGACAGTCCTACCTGGACCCATACTCATTCCGGGTATTCGGGATTTAATCAGTTCCTGTCTACCAACAAGTTAACCCTTACTGCGGTTCAATGATATGGTTCATAGTTGTTGATGTTCATTATATGTACAATAACTCAATGGACTGCACATTTTCACACATACAGATGTGCTAATATAATCTTTCCTTGGCGAGCAGCACCTGTTGGTCAGTGAGCAATCAGCGATTGTCCTACCGTATGAATTAAATGGCTAGTTGAATGAGGGATGGACGAGTGTAACGTGGGAGGTGGGTGGATATGGAGGTGGACAGGACTATCTCCTCCATCGGCGTGTCTCACCAACATGCCGGCTGTGCTGTTGGTGGACACTGTTAACGGACCAGTCTTATTGGTCATGCTGTTGGTGGACACTGAAGGGGTCATTCTTTTCTCTTTCTGGCGGCGATTACAAAACCAGACCCTAACAACTTCTTTTTCTATCTCTAAGCTGTCTGCAAGGGTTATAATCTCTTGCGCTGACGGTTTGGGCTGTTTACGAAAATTACTTTCTAGCACATTCTTTACAGATACCTCGATGCTCGTTCGCTTCTTCCTTCTCCGTCCCTGGGCAGCGATCCTGTCGATGGACGTCGGCGATCCGGAGGTGCTCTCCGCCTCTTCCAGCCACTTGGCAAGTAGAGGCTTTAACTTACACATGTTCTTGAAGCTGAGCTGCAGAGCTTCGAACCTACAAATTGTGGTCTGGCTGAAGACGTTGCCGTAAAGCGTGCCGAGCGCCAGACCAACGTCTGCCTGCGTGAAGCCGAGCTTGATTCGCCGCTGTTTAAACTGCTTGGCAAACTTTTCTAAGTCGTCTGACGACGGTGGTGGTGCCTCGATTATGCTGAGCTCGTTATTGTCTAGTTGGAGTGGGTGGTGTCCGTTGTCGAGATGGGGAGCCTTCCTCATTGCCGGGTGTATCTGCACCCCACCATGAGTCATCATTCCATTCATGGCGTATACTGGTTGTTGAAGGGGCGAAGAACCGTTGGTTGATGGGGGCATGCTAGCCATGTGTTGGCCAGCTGGAGAGGACGGTTGCCAGGTTATGTGTTGCGGCGGACGGTGATGGCTTAAGGAATCCTGGTGCAGTCCTGGACCTGAGTGGTTTGGTGGTTTTATGTCCTGAGCGTGAAGTCCATTATAATGGATGTTGGATGACCAGCCCGAGAGGTCATTGTGATGAGGTAGACTAGTCCACTGTTGGAGAGACCCCAGAACGTATCCGTTTTGACTATGGTGCTGGGGTGGCATGTACTTCATCTCAACACAGCTAGCTATTTGCATCTCTCTGGTGAAGCCGTGTGTGTTCGATAAAGATTCCTCGTTCCTTGTGACGTTGAATGGATTGGATGTACTAGTAGCCATGCTTTAAAAGACGTGTTCTACTGATCTGGTGTGCAAAACCAGGCCCGTCATATGCGTTCTGGTTACTGACAAGCTGGCCTCGCTTTAGACCGACAGCTCGTCACCATGGTGCTGATAAAGAGCTTTCTACTTTCGCTACTGATTGGCTAACGTTTGATGATGAAATTTGATAGGCATTAAATCAAAAATTTCGACCAGAAAGCCTATTGGCCGTGACGTTGGGCGTGATGAAACCATGGAAACGACACAATATCACGGGATCCATTTCCTCCAGTACGGTCCCACCTAAGCCCAGGAGACACGTAGGAGGTCGAGGTGTCGTCACACTGAAACCTCCAGGCCCGGGGTGGAGCTTTAACGATAGGCGGGAAACATCTCTAGCCGAAAGAACTATGATTGTGGAACTTCACCTATTAATAGTAAGTTATAATGGCTGTGTGTGTGTGTATCTGTATGTAAAAAACCCAGAGTTCCAACTTCATGAGAATTACACAGTAAAAACTGTCATTATTACATGTACTATATACTCCAACTTCATGAAGTATACCCAGTAAAAACTATCAATATGATGCCTACAATATATTACAACTGCGTGAGGTTTACCCTGTAAAAACTATAAATATGATGTCTACAATATATTCTAACTGTGTGAGGTTTACCCAGTAAAAACTATCAGTATTATGTCTACAATATATTCTAACTGTGTGAGGTTTACCCAGTAAAAACTATCAATATGATGTCTACAATATATTAAAACTGCGTGAGGTTTACCCAGTAAAAACTATCAATATGATGTCTACAATATATTACAACTGCGTGAGGTTTACCCAGTAAAAACTATCAATATGATGTCTACAATATATTACAACTTCATGAGGTTTACCCAGTAAAAACTATCAATATGATGTCTACAATATATTACAACTGCGTGAGGTTTACCCAGTAAAAACTATCAATATGATGTCTACAATATATTACAATTGCGTGAGGTTTACCCAGTAAAAACTGTATGACGTGTATATTAATACTTGCTCAACAAGGAAATATTGGTATTAACTCTTTCGCTGCCACTTTAAACATCTTGAAATTGTCAAAGTTTACGAAGTTTCAAGGGGAATAAACACCCTTTCTTCATGATGGTACAAAATTCCAGTTTCGTATGTGGCTAATATCACACCTTTCAAAACTAAAATAAAGGCTATATAGTAAGTTCCCATGTCATGAAAGAGCTAATAAATAAAACGGGCATTGCAAAACTCGAAGTTAGTAAAGATACAAATAATACGAAACTTGAGTTTAAGAGGTAATTCAGGAAATGAAATTCCAGCAACACTATATTCTAAAGTTAGGTAGTAAATATAGAAGAACAGAGTACAATAATATCAATGTAAACAGGTTAAAACTTCCTTGTAAGAACTTAACAATAGAAGCATCTAAAATGTTACTAATATAACTACAGAAGCATCTTAAAATTTACCTTAAAGAAAGTTAACACTTTAAGCCAATAGAAGTATATTATTACTTGCCCGTAGAAAGTTAAAAATGGATAATAAAAACGTCTTAGAACTTACCTTAAAGAAAATTAATAAAGTAAACTAATAAACCAATAGAATTATCTTAATCCTAATACTTACATGTAGAAAGTTAACAATGTAAACCAATAGAAATATCTTAATATTTACCTGTAGAAAACTTACAATGTACAATAGAAATATCTTAACACTTATCCGTAGAAAGCTAACAATGTTACCAATAAAAGTATCTTAAGAAAGTTAACAAACGTAGGTGAAAGATAAAAACTTTTAACACTTATTATGAAGATATGAGACTGTGGGTGGTACTCTCACTCAGTACTTTCAGAAGTATCATCAGTAGTTAAAAAACAAGCACTATTCTCAGACCAGGCAACAAATGTTAATCAGGAGCATAGTCACGTGGTACGACCGAATTTTTAAAAACTAAGCATAAGCTGATATAGATGTACTCCCATCTCAAGTAAAGTTTTTTGTTTTGTTTTTTTAGTTTGGGCTTATTGCAGGAAGTATGGGTAAAGATCTTCAAGAAGAGAATACTGTGTAAAAAGTGCACTAGGAATTTTTAAGTTCATCACGTAAAAGTATTCTTAACTTGTTTGAAGAACTCGAACTTAATCTTGTCGTGGGTTAACTGATGATAAAAAAAATGTTTACAGAAATATCGAACATAACCCTTTAATTTTTAAAATAGATTATTAATAAAATACTATCGGCTACATCCAATACGAGGCCTTTTGCCCAATACTATGGTTCTTAAATCCACTGAAATATGACAGAAACAGTAGTTGTGGCTGAGATGCTATTAATTATGATTTATCGTGTCTTTTTACTTCCAAACACTTTTCAATCGACCGCCATTCCTTCATTTTTCGGTGGATTGTCTTGAAACTTGGTAGGCCCAAAACACCTTTTCATTTTTTAGTACTTTTTTAAGGATTTTATGGGGTGAAAGGTCAAACAACCCAAAAATATATATTTTAGGCTCCTGTGTGTCTATATTTACAGCAATCAATATGAAAACTAGCACAATCATAAACATTTAAAAAAAAAGTTGGATTTGCTCATTTTGTGTCATTTTAAGGGGTCAGAGTTCACAAAAAGACATAATTTTAGGATTTTTGGTCAATTACTCGGCCGTATTTTGACCAATTTACATGGGATTTTGTACAAAAGTACTTTTATACACGTCCCATACATATATAGACAAAAATGTGGGATGTGCCTGTTTTTGGTCATTTTAGTGGGTCAAAAGTTCAAACTCATAATTTTAGGCTTATTTAGCCTTATTTCGACCAATTTACATGAAACAAAAATTCTTTTCTACAAGCAACAAAGATGTTGGAGTTGCTCATTTTTAATAATTATATGGGGTCAAGATCCACAAAAAAGCATAATTTTAGGGTTTTTTTTTACGATCACTTTGCCGTATTTCGGCCAATTTAAATGGGATTTGGTACAGAGATACTTTTTTAAAGCTCCCAAACAGAGATATAGGCAATTTTGAAATTTCTGCCTTTTGCTCAATTTTTCATTGAGGAAAGCAGAATTTGGAGTTTTATTGAACTATTCATGTGTATGTCAACCAACTTACAAAGGATTTGGTACAAAGATACCTTCTTACAGGTCCCAAACAATGATATAAAAAATTTTCGATTTTTCTCGTGTCAAAATTGGTCACGTTGGGAGACATGCTGTGTTCGCCTGCCAATTTTGGCCTCTAATTATTATCAGATTGCTTAACAACAACTGTACGGGGTGAACTGGATAAAGTGTAATCGATTTTACACAACAAATCAGAATTAAAACATATTTTATCCTTTATTATTCTCTTGAATTAACTTGCTCATTATTCAGAAGAACCAGCAAACTAGTCTTCTTGATACTGTGTTTTCACCCACCCCAAAGATAGTTATTACGTAAATATATTTTGTTCTTCTTCTCATTAAATAAAACATATAGCGCCACCTAGTAAGAACATTTCAAACTTGTACTATTAGACAGAACAAGAAATTTACGTTCGGCACCAAAGACCTTCATGGTTCGTATATTTGCTATATAGCTGTTCAGCAATTATGCTGGTTGACGTCATTTCAAAATATTTATTTTCATTGAAAGATACATATCCCACACGAATATACGTATAAATAGAATATAACGATCGGCATAGCTGGTGGTAAAACAGCTTCAGGATTTAGTTTATATTAACTTGTTGAAGAAGCACATGATTGTCTTTTAAATATAGTATCTTCTTAAAGGTTGTAATTTAATTACGTTATGTACAACAACACAAGAAAATAGGTCAGTGTGTGAAGACGAAATGTGGAAGACTTTCGAAACGTCGTCCTCTATACTTGTTTCTACAACAAGTAGTTGCCCTCCATTCTACAAAATATTCTGCCTAAACATTCTATCAAAGGAAGTAAGTAATATGATGAAAGCAAACTACCAGAACTAAAAATCAGCCCAATTTTGGATACAGTTAATTTAATATATATATGTCTTATGTTCTTGCTTATTATGATATACTAAACTAACAATGTAAAATATTTTTTTAATAAAACGATATAATAATATATATTGTAATATTAACCAGTGGTGCTAATAAAACTAACATTAAAAGAAAAATGGATATGATTTACAAACTGGAATCTACTCTTCAGTTTTACAAAAACTCGAAACATTTTACTGAACGCACGCGCCACAACTCAACCACTACTCTGTTTTTTTGTATTCCAGCCGGTCTCAAGGGTCCTAGTATCGAGGGAAAGTCCTCGTCGGCAATAGATATCGTAAGTATAGTGTGGTTCACATATTATTATACACTATTCTTTAGTTTAAGTCATAATTTTTGTTAGTAATTATGAAAGCTTAACGTTTTTAAAGAGAGGAATTCTTAATATGTGATTTCTGTAGTAACTTATCAAGACACAGCGTATAACCCCTCGTTTGTATCTAATTATACTGATGTTGGTAATTTTCTTGTCATGGTCTGTTTGTCTTAAATCCTCAGAGAAAGTCGACATGAATTTGTTTTTAGATAAGTGTATTTTAAAGGACACAAAGAGAGAGAGAGAGGTGGATAAGTAATATCGAGAGAGATACACGCCCTACAAAATAAATTAATATCTCGGGTCGAATACAATTAACGAACAACAGTATATAAATTTGTCTGTGACAGGTACGGAACACATGCTTGTGTCCCACCTTTATAAAAACATTTCAGACGAACTTCGATTTTCTTCTTAACCTTTCACGTCCTGAAATGTGAGCCCGTTCTTGGGTAATTTAGCTAATTTTCAATAGTCCATGCGAAGCTATATAAGTCGTATTTGCATATTATTTTCCTAACGAAAAGGACACGTGAAAATGCTTTTACATGCAATTAGTATTATTAAGCTAATTATAAACGATTCGTTGCGCCAGGTACAACGACAAAAAGTAAAACGAATATGGTCAAACAAGTCTTTTATTCTCATTCTCCAAGATTACTCGATAGTTGTTTTTAATATCTTTCTTAAACGGGATAATTTTGTACCAAAATATTAACAACTGATTACAAAATTACATTTTTAAATACATTTTTACATAAACGGAACTTTTTGCTATATATCTTTGTTTTTGTTTGTTTGTTTTTGAATTTTGCGCAAAGCTACAAGAGGGCTATCTGCGCTAGCCGTCCCTAATTTAGCAGTTTGAGATTAGAGGGAAGGCAGCTAGTCATCACCACCCACCGCCAACTCTTTGTTTTTACGAAAAAGCTGACATAACATAATATTTTTGCTTTAAGTAGTCATTTCCAAAAAAAATGAACACAGAGCTGTACTATTAGGTCGTCAAGAAATTAATGTCGCTTTTTTTAGATGAAAAAAAAAACTGAAAAACTTATATATATCAAAACAAAACATTTATTAAATGAAATAGTCTCCATTGTTATCGATGATTCTTTTCCATCTTACAATAAGGTCGTTAATGCCCTGATTAAAGAAATCATGTGGCTTTAAAGCAAAAAACATGTTAATGCCTTCTTTAATACCTTCCATATTTGTATACGTTTTCCCATTAAAATGGTGTTGCAGCGACAGAAAAATATGGTAATCAGATGGTGCCATACCTGGAGAATATGGTGTGTGGGAGAACACTTCCCAACCCAACTCCATAATCTTGTGTTGCGTCAAACGTACCACATGTGGACATGTAAGATCGTGGAGAAGAAGAACACCTTTCCGATTGACGAGTGAAGAGCGTTTCTGATGAAGGGCTTGATTTAAACGTTCCAGTTGCTGACTATAGATCTCTGCATTGACAGTTTGCTGTGTATGAGGAAATGGATTCTCTATACGAATATTAAACGCCAAAAACAATGCCTCAGTCCTAGACAAAAACCACTGCCGCAGAAAGTGATGCTTTGCATTTGGTGAGACATCAAAGGAGTAATTCATTTCGAACTTTTATCACCGTGACAATTCTGTCTAAAAATGGTTCACGCGCATTACGTGCCAGAAGAGACGAAGCAGCATTCACACGTTGGAAACGATTATCATCGGAGAGTTCGTGAGGCACCCAAACACCTTCTTTATGGAGTTTTCCCATATTGCTTAGATGTTTACGTACTGTAAACATGCAATTTCAGGGCCATTTCACGAGTGCGTTGTCTTGGGTTAGACTCAACAAGTGTCTTCAGAGCATCAATATCAATTCCAACATGTCGGCACCTGCCATCACAGTTTATAAGGATAAAGTCACCTGAACGAAATTTGCTGAACCATCGTTAACACTTACGAACGTTCAAAACATTTCCATAAACTTCTTTGGTATTCTTTGTGGCTACAGAGGCGTTGTTTCCCTTCTTGTATTCATACAGCATTACATGCTAATGTGTGTTTCGTCGTGTGCCATCATTATAAGGAATTAGAGTATACCAAACTTTACACATTATATAGGCTACACTAACATGACGTTTAGGCGGTTCGTTTAACTATTATACGTGATGTACTTTTTTAGGGGGTGGTTAATGAAAGTGTTCCAAATAAATCCGAGTTGTTTTCCCTTTAAGAGTTGTGAATGTTTATAAAAAGTGTATGATACTGTGAAACTAATATGACACTGTGAAACGAATATGATACTGTGAAACTAATATGACACTGTGAAACTAATATGATACTGTGAAACTAATATGACACTGTGAAACTAATATGATACTGTGAAACTAATATGATACTGTGAAACTAATATGACACTGTGAAACTAATATGACACTGTAAAACTAATATTATACTGTGAAACTAATATGATACTGTGAAACTAATATGACACTGTGAAACTAATATGACACTGTGAAACTAATATGATACTGTGAAACTAATATGATACTATGAAACTAATATGATACTGTGAAACTAATATGACACTGTGAAACTAATATGATACTGTGAAACTAATATGACACTGTGAAACTAATATGACACTGTGAAACTATTATGATACTGTGAAACTAATATGACACTGTGAAACTAATATGATACTGTGAAACTAATATGACACTGTGAAACTAATATGATACTGTGAAACTAATATGACACTGTGAAACTAATATGACACTGTGAAACTAATATGACACTGTGAAACTAATATGATACTGTGAAACTAATATGACACTGTGAAACTAATATTATACTGTGAAACTAATAGAGTGTAATTGAAATCTCTCTAAGGTAATTATAAATATTTTCATGAAGAAGGTTCTCTAAAAATATTGATAAAACTAACGTTTTTCGCATTATTCTTTTCTTCATCGAGAAATGTATTTCGTACAGACAAAATCAATAAGAACAAACAAATAAAAACAGTTTTGAATTTATTCCTTTTTAAAGAAACGGTTATCATTCCTGATGTTTAATATTCGATTAAATTCATTATCACCACTTAAATGAAACTTAACTCACTATCAAAAAACAAAAATTCCCACAATTCTTAAGACGATACCTGAAGGTACAGATTACGGTAGTGATACTTTACTCTGTCAAGATGTCTGGGAAGAAACGCATGGTTCACATTTGCAATAAGTTTACTACTAAATCTAAACCAAAAAAAAAAAACAACAACAAAGAAGTATTTTCGAGAAATTCCCGAGAATGATTGTATCTAAATTTCTACCATTTTTCCATGACGATATAAATTTTCAGCCACTACTTAGAGTGTATATGAAATGTATTGATTGTGCTGTCTTTAGAGATGATGATAAGAGGGCCCCCCGGTGACACAGCGTTATGTTTGCGGAGTTACAGCGCTAGAATCCGGGTTTCGATACCCGTGGTGGACAGATAACAGATAGCCCATTGTTTAGCTTTGTGCCACTGATAAGTGCTTTATATGATCTTCCAGTGTTTAAAACTGTTTATTATGAAACTAAAATCTATGTAGTCCTTTTTTTTTAGTCCTCGTTTATTAGATTATTTTGTTCTATATTCGTTATCCATTTGATAGTTTAGCTTCATTCTCACCAGGAGGTGTATGTAGAGAAAAATCTCAGCCGATTGTAACTTAAAATCTTCAAAACAAATGATTATTCAATTGTATTTTTTATCTATGCACAGATGAACCTTCAACTGAGACGTTGACCAACAAACTTGACCTTCAGTTTCCTTCATCGGTGAATAATATCATGAGTGAAGGTAAGTATCAATCAATTCTTAACACTGGGATTCTGCACGTAATGTAACACGTACGAATCTTAGATAGACAATGTTCAGGTCTAAATATAAATATGTATCTACTGTGTCTTAATGTAGTTTTCTTTGGTTAATGTTAACAGGAAACTACCGATTGTTGAGTCTTCTAAGACTACTTTGACACCCTTCTTTTGTATTGTATACACTACTAGTTTACGTATGATGGCTTCACTTTGCCATTACTGAATAACTAGGAAAAATGAAAGCTTAATCTCAAACATTCATGTAATTTCAAAATAATCCCTAAACGTCTTGCTGTTAAGGGTCTTTAACAGCCACACTTATGGTTTTGTTTTATATAATACTCATGTGATTTTTAGTCAGTACAAAGCCGTATTTTTACAAGATTAGCCTTCTGTTGTAAAACGTATCTTATTAAACTTATTCTAGTATTATTTGCATAAATTCTCGTTAGGATACGTTGATTGTGAATCGTAGAAATGTGATAAATAGTGACGTCATTCACTATTGGTGTGTTCCAGCATTGTGCTAATTGTTGGCGTGTTCGAGCTTTGTGCTAACTTTTGTTGTGTTCGAGCTTTGTGCTAATTGTTCGTGTGTTAGAGCTTTGTGCTAATTGTTGGTGTATTCGAGCTTTGTGCTAAATGTTGGTGTATTCGAACTTTGTGCTAATTGTTGTTGTATTCGAACTTTGTGCTAATTGTTGGTGTATTCGAACTTTGTGCTAATTGTTGGTGTATTCGAACTTTGTGCTAATTGTTGTTGTATTCGAACTTTGTGCTAATTGTTGGTGTATTCGAGCTTTGTGCTAATTGTTGGCGTGTTCGAGTTTTGTGCTAATTGTTGGTGTGTTCGAGCTTTGTGCTAATTGTGGGTGCCCATTGAAAACTGTGAACACATTTTAATAGTATGTCCAGTTTTTACTTAAGATATTGGATTTCTTATACATTCCATAAATTTTAATCACTATTTTGTTTAGTGTCAGATCCTAAATATAATATTTAGTTAAGTAAGATTGAAGTTTATCTTGTCGAATAAACATTTTAGTAACCATACAACACATCGAAAAATGACCGAACAGAGGTTGAAATAACAGTTCA